ATCATTCTAAAAATATTAGATTGCAGTATCTCTTCTTACTCAAGAATCTATGATAGTTAATATGGCTTACTTGTGCAATAGCTCAAATCAAATTATTTTTTCAATAAGAGAGCATCCGATAAATCAAAGCTATAAGAGTATACATACAATAGTTTTGCTCTATTCTTTCCTTAACTGAATAATAACTACAACACAATCCAAAAAACTCTTTTTTCTACATAGTCCATAATAAGACTACCAAAGAATTTCTGGAAAAAGATATGAAAGAAGCATAATGGAATTTGATATAATCTTTAACCAACTGGTTCCAATTTGAAGGTCAAATAAAGAAGAGATTCTTTTTTTGATCATACAAGTGATTAAAATAGTCTCTTCTATCTGACAATTATGTAATGAATATGACTAAGAATAGATCACAAATACAGCAATATCCAACTATGCAATTGGATATTATAAATATATCTTTATGATTCAAGAGAAGACTTAAAAATATGAGATTGCCTATTACACTTATTAGAACAAAGTATTAAAAAATGGTCATCCAAAAAATGAACATAAGATTGATCCAACTACTCATTAAGTTAGAAATCTAAATTACCTTCAAAAGTATTATTTAGTGGACATACCTCAAAACTAAATTGACTATCTATAAAATTCTTTCTTGCTATATAAGAAATCCTAAAAAAAAACTTCCTTATAATCTTCAATGAAGCTCTTACATCAAATATCATCTATAAACATCTGAATACATGACTACTATGTTTAATTCTAAAAGTTGGTTATAAGAAGTATTTCAAAAATTAATATTTAATTACTATATTTTGCATAATTTATAAGATACTTGCAAAAACTCTAGTCCTTAAAGTTTAACATCTACTCTTTTACATTGTTCAAATTAACTATACATATTTTTTTAATAAAAAAGAAGTATTATTAATAATATATTTTTAGCCTTTGATGTAATACACTAGGCCATTAAATCTAATTTATCTTTAATTATACTTTTATTAGATTTTGAAAAGACATAAAATAGTGTAGAATGAAGCTTTTTAGAAGGAACTATGTTAACAATGGAAATTGATTCCTAATAGAGCTTCTTGATCAAATCTCTCTATGTTAATTGTTAGTATTTAGTAGGACTCAATGGAATTATTAGCCAATCTTTTAAACTTAGTAGATTGGTTAGATAATGTTGCTCATTGGCTTTGTTTCTTGAACTATATTATTTGAATTTCAAACAATCCAATGTCATCCTATTGAAACAGAGATGTTAATCTTAAGTGGCTTGTTTTTAAAGAAACCACTTGATACCTAGGTTTCTAAGTGAGATTTAGGATTTTAGCAAAATATAATTTGATGTAACTTTGATGACACTAAAACAAAAACTTATTTATTAATATACAATAATATTTTCTCTTACAAGTCAGGTGTTGATTGCTAACTAATTTTTGTTAGCTTCAATTTGGTATGTCGCTTCTTGCTAGGCTCCTCACTTGGACTCTATTAACAAGGTGTGAACCTTGTTTTGAAACTACATTTTGTTAAGAAAGTCTAGAGATTGAGCTTGTAAAGCCAATATTGCATGAAAGACATTAATTCTCTAATAGAAGTTTGAAGTATTAAAGCTACTTAATCTTGAATTACAAATGCAAGCTTTATTGATCAAATTTATAACACAAGCCCTAATGTTAGGAATATTACCATGACAATTTTTAATGCAATACAAGTTCTACACCTTGTGACCTAAGAGAAGAGGCAATAGGTCACCAAATATTCATTTTATTCTCTTTGATCTAAAAATTCATAGCTTAGATTTGAAATTTTTGGTAGACAGTTTGAAAAGCTTGATTCCATATCTAGTATGGATTGAATTTTCAACAACTACTAACAATGAATGTGAAGGTGAGACAATTTTATTTTTTGAATGCCAAATTACTCGTCACCCATAATTCAATGCATAGTGATAAGCCTTATTTATTTGAAAACATATGGATGCAAAAGCCAATTATACAAATTGAGAATTTATGGCTTATATATCATTATAATTAGAAATTGTTAAAGAACTCATAACTAAAATAAGCACCATCTAAATAAAAGTGATAAGACTTTATTTATTAAACTCTATCTTTGTTTATTGAAATATGATCTAATTTCATAGTTTTCTTGAGTATAAATAGGTGGCTTCAATCTCAACTATCAAACTCTTTTAAAACTTGTATAAACTTTACAAGCAATATATAGGAACCAAATACATCGAACTTACTCTAAATCTCTTTTAAAGACATTGTAGATCTTTAAAGGACATTCTTAAGCCTAGAATTATGTTGCTTAAGAATTACTACAACAAACAATGATCTTAAAACCATGGCCATCAATCCACCAAAGGAATATTTTGGCTGCATTTGGTTCTTTGAGTTGGTTTGAGACATGGTTTTTAATCCTCTTGAATGGCAAAGAACTTCACTTATTCATCTTCAAACTGCAACATTCTTTAATTACTCAACTCGTACATACTACAACATTGCCTTAATAGCCAAATTATAAACTGCTCAATTATAGGTTAAACAACAAAAGGCTTAGCCTCTCTCAAGGAAAAATGGATAGATTTATCATAATATTATGGAATAAATATAAGTCAACCAAGTTGCAAACTTTCTTATAACAAATCATTTCAAAAGAACCACATAAAAGCAATTGGTGTGAAGTCATGGGATTTTCTCAACTTATTTATGCTACAACAAAGAGATGAAAGAAATCCTAGAGTACTACTTTAGAAGATGCAAAATTATGCATTGAGTTTGGAAGGTATATAACCGAATATAGAAGATACTAAATTGTCTCTCAATTTGAGCATGGAAAGAGTTATTAACCAGATTTTCCCTAGGAACAAGAGATGCCACAAGGATATATCACCCCAATACAAGCCTTAGACGTATTATAAGCAACCATCTTTTGGCACCTTTGGTATGCCACAAGCTATATGGTGTTCTCACAAGAACACATCAACGCTCATCATATTTGTCATCTAGCCTTGAGGGAAACCATCTTTGCCAACATTGCTAATAGAAATCAGTCTTAGTTACATAAATAGATGTGGTGAAACAAGAAAGGCAAAAATTATTCTTGCTTTTCACAACACCTGGTGTTCTCAAGAAGGTTTTAGTTCAAGAGGATTATTATCTCGTTGCTGGCATCTACCCCCCTCACTCATTCATCTGCCAACCCATACATGGGACCCAGATTGAGCTGTAACTTATTTCTTATAGAAAACACTGTTACTTTACAAAAATAATTGAAAAATTAAAAAATTGGTTGTTTCATTTTATTGTGACCTAATTTAGAATAATGTCTACTTTCTGTAATAAATTCTGATCTTCGGAAGGCTTTACAGCTTTAATTTGTGTTTTTTACGGGATGCAAACAACAAATGTATTGTTGTTGTGCTTTACGTAGATTGAAACAGAAGCTTCAAATGCTTCATCCCAATCAATATTTGTTGTACCAATCTTTTTCAAAAAGTAAAGGCATTTGAAGGATCTAATGCCACCAATATGCTAATATATTGTTGTACTTGAAACTTCATTTTAAGCATGCTCATATTTACGAATAGAATAATAAACATCAAGTCGTCATAATTTGATCACTACTTTTCATCCAGCTATTATAATTATCCAAGAAAATTGTGTCAAAATTTTATCAAAATAAATAAACATAATACACATGATGATATATGTAGTAATTTTTTTTATAAAACATGTATTTTCTTGATGGTTTTGAAAAAAAATTCAACACTCTTAGAAAAAAAAACTGCATAATGAATCATTTCAAACTTTGTAACTGTTTATGCATTGCAACTCTTTTTTGTTTTGTTTTGTTTTGATTTTTTTTGGATACCATGGTTATGGTCTTTTTTGATTTACATCCTTAAGCCTTAAAGTAGCAATTTTTGTGTGTTAAAATTAATCTGATTAGACAATTAAGATATTGATGATGTAGATCATGTAATGTTTTCAAATATTATTGTTACAAATTCGTTTCTTACATTTGGTTTGTATGTGGTTGTTGAGATAAGCATGTTTGTTAAAACAAATGTCTGTAAGAGTGGGTGAAATAAAGATTTTAGTTTTCTTGTCACAATATATATATATATATATATATATATATTATGATAATAGTACCAAAGTGCATTTGAATCACTCGGAATAAAATTCTATTTTAAAGATGGTATTAGAAAATAATTATACATATTTTAAACGCCGAATACCTTTATTCATACATTGGTTGGCTTTGAACTTGATTGGAATATTTATACATTTGTAACTTGATATGAAGAAAGAACATTGAATATTTGTAATTGAATTTATAATTATATCAGTCAATCATTGTTTATTTTTCTTATTTATTCTAAGTGATATTACATGTAAAATTATAACAGGATAATTGAATTATTTATTGCAACCTTTATAAAGCTTGAATTCAAGATATGTCTCGCTAGTATTATAATTGGTTAAAATAAAACTGTTTTATTTGCCTATACTAATAAATAATCACATATTGTCAAGTCTAATTTAAAACAATACACACATTTAGAACTACTTGATGCTTTGAGAATTGCATACATCACGCACACTGATGAACCACTTAATTGATATATACTTGAAGCTTTTAAAAAATAATAATACATACTACCCACAACTAAAAAATGAAGATAAATCTAACAACAATTTGTAACTATACAAACACACACACACATACATACACAAATTTTTTATTTGAAAAAGAATATATTCCAAAAGAGAAAAAAAGGTTCAATATATATCGGGAAGTGCACAAAACCATCGCCATTTACATTAAATATTTTATTTTGATTGATTCGAGTGCTAATTTCCACAACTGAGTTATTGTCACATAAGTGTTGAAGCCGTCCAGAATGGATGATTCCAGCTGAAACCAGGATGGGAGAGCCATATTTCATTCATTTGTTTGTTAACATCCACGGAGTCGTGTAACTCCGGAGGGGTTTAGGGTTTAGGGTTTAGAGGACGACGCCGAGGCCCAATTGCAGGGAGAGAGAGGATCCATGGCGAGGTCGGGACCCTCCCACTGATCGAACCTGAGCCAGTGGAAGAGGAGGAGGAAGAGGCTTTGCGTCTGATTCCATGACTTGATCAAGTCGCATTCGGCCCGAGCTTACAGAGTCGTCAACATGGCGAATCAGACGAATCTGGCGAAAGGCAAACGCCGCAGCGAAAGCTTGCCAGGTGACAATGGCGATGTGGTCGTGCTTCACAGGGGTGAAGTGAAGAAACGGCGTGGCGAGAAGGAGGAGAACAAGTGGAAGGTGATATTACGTGATGGCGCGAGTGGATTCGAACCGTGTGACTGTTTTTTTTGTTTTTTTGTTTTTTTTCCTGATTAGGGTTTGGACTATTGGTTTTTGACAGTTGATGGAACTTGTTTTTTGGGGTTTGAAATTGGTCCTCTGTTTTGAGGATTTTGATGAGGGTTTGAACTGAATCGACCGTGGGCAATGGGGTTATTGGCTGCAGCATATCAAGGACAAGAAGTTGAGGGGGCAAATTGTTCAAAGAGAGAAGCTCTTTGGAGAGGCGGCTGAAACCGCTACGAAAGTCCAGCAGGTTGGTCGTCTTGTCCACTTTTTCTTTTGCGTGCGTGTGCCTGGAGTCTGGTGCTGATAGTGCAATTTGTAAAGATTTTGAGCGATGTTGAAGCCAATAATTGGTATATTTGTCAGTGGTTATTACCAAGTGAAGCAGGGTATTTGGAAGCAGAAGACCTAGAAGATACTCGTCATTTTAGTCAAGAGGCTATCGTCAAGGAAGTCGATGTAACGAGTGCACGAAAAGCTTTCGACTTGCAATTGCCAGGTCCTTTTTTTCCCTCTGATTGATTCGATAGTGGCTGGCGCTTTGGGGGCGGTGGCTGGCGATTTCATTGCGTTCTTTGTACTTCACGGCGTTTTTGGAACTGTAATTTCGCTCTGCATTCACATCCCATGCCCTCAGTAGACGAAGTTTACAAAATCCATTGTACTGAAATGTTGATGTAAACCTCACTATTGGTTAATTTTGCTCGTTGTTAACAATTTGCATTTGATAATGTAGATCTCGGTTCATACACAGTGGACTATAACTCCAATGGACGGTTCTTACTACTCGGTGGCCGGAAGGGGCATCTTGCTATGATGGATTGGAAGAAATCGCGGCTGATGATGGAATTACAGGTTATTATCTGCGAAGCTTGTCTTACTTGTAGATGTCTTGTGCAAGTCTCACTAAGAACAATGCTGATGTTTTGATGCGTTCGATCCTCCATCAAATAGTTTTACGTAGCACCTGAATAATAGGTATAGCATCTATTCTTAGGTGTTGGTTTCTAATTGAAGGCGTTGTTTCACCTCAGGTACGAGAAACTACGCGGGATGTGAAATTCTTGCACAATGAGACCTTTTTTGCTGTGGCGCAGAAAAAGTACGTGGACTTGTTCCTCTATCATCTTCTGTAAAGACTCGTATCTGCAACTTTTCAGTTTTCTTTCTGTGATTGTAACGTACTAGTCGTCCATTTGTCTGAGACCCGCCTAATGTAGTTGTCTTTCCAATGTCTTTGGGACGTGTACTTCCTTAGTTGGCATAAGATAATTATACATGGTTGCAAGTATTATTTTGTTGTGGTGTTTGAGGTATAAGAGAATATTCAACCGCTATTCTTATTTTCTGCGTGTGTGGATTGAGCAGATATGTCTTCATCTACGACAGGAAAGGTGTGGAGATCCATTGTATGCGGGTATGTTTAATTTCCATGTTTTGTAATATGTATTTATTGAACTAAATCTCATCTATTCTAGAAATGAATGATGCTTAATTTGTATACAAAGGTGATTTAGCAAGTTGCTTATGCTGTCAAACGATCTTCATGAAGTGGTATTGGAGAATTGCTGTAACAGACGTTATCTAATTCGTGCAGGACCATATTCAACCATTGAAATTGGAGTTTTTACCTCATCATTTCTTGCTCGCAAGTGTAGACAAGGCTGGAATATTGAGGTATCAAGATACGAGTACTGGGACCCTTGTTGCCCAGCATCGGACCCATTTGGGTCGCGGGGGTGTTCTACGCATGAATCCGTACAATTCTATTTTAGGCTTGGGGCATAGCAATGGGACGGTCACTATGTGGTCTCCGAACATGTCAACTCCTCTTGTTTCGATTCTTTGTCATCGTGGACCTGTGACCACTGTTGCCTATGACCTTGCGGGTGTACACATGGTAACGGGTGGAATGGACGGCCAAGTGAAGGTTTGGGATGTAAGAAAATATCTTCCATTACACACCTATATTGCTCCGACCACCCCGAAAGCCCTTGAAATCAGTCAGAGGGGACTAATTGCAGTAGGCTGTGGGTCCAAAATTGAAATCTGGCGAGATGCCTTGGCAACCAAACAGGTACGCTTGATTCTAACTATTTGCTGGAATTGATCCAACGTTATCATCGTCAACACGTTCTCTGGAGTTGTGGACTACGAGATTCTCATTTGTTGTTCTTCTTATCTGGATGGTGTATTTTCTTTCCTACTCTGCTTCTGACATGGTGTCTTGTTATCATCAGGTCAAACCTTACTTGTCACACAGATTGGCCAAGGGTGCACAAGTGGAAGACTTTGCCTTCTGCCCGTATGAAGACGTTCTAGGAACTGGGCATTCAGCAGGTATCTCGTCGCTTCTTGTTCCAGGCGCTGGAGAGCCCAACTTCGACACGTACGTGGCGAATCCGTTTGAGACATGGAAGCAGCGGCGGGAGGCAGAGATCCAGCGTCTTCTGAATAAGCTACCTCCCGACACCATTGCACTCGATCCTAACACCATTGGTGGTATCCTCCGGGCTGGTAACGAGAATCAGAAAGCGAAGTTGGCTCTGTCAGAGGAAGCCAACAAAGCGAATGCAATTGCAGCAGGAAAGGAGGTCAAGGAGAAGAAAAAAATGAAGGGAAAAAACAAACCAAGTAGGCGGCACAAGAAGAAGCAGTTGAATGTCATTACAGCTGAAATGCAAATTAAACGCGACTTGATGGCGAAACAAAAGTCTGACAGCAAAAAACCTACCACCACTGTTGAAGTTAATGACACTTCTCTTCCTCTAGCATTAGAACGATTCAAACGCAAGTAATCTTATTTATGTAACAATATTTTTGGTATGTTTGTTTCTTTATTCGCCACACATATGACAACGGTGTGCTCCCCTTCATACGGTTTTCTACCTTATGTGCGTCGTACAATGAGAGGAAAACGGATCCCTCTTCAGATTCAAGAAGCTACATGAGATTCTTTGTAATCATTAACAGTGATAGAAACCAGTGAAATTATATCATTAGGAAGTTAACAGTCGTGCTTTCGCTCTAACCCTTAGATGAAGGATGAGCCGACAATGAACACGAGTGATAGCCGCCATGTTTGACGATATTTTCTCAGTTGTTATCCAATGAGTTTAGCCACGTCGACCCTCATGAAATCCGTGGGCCGTAACGTGGACTTTATTTAATGCGCCACTCCTTCCTGCGGAAATGTCTTCCAAATACCCCGACCTCCATACAACTCGACTGACGCCCCCTAATAAAAAAATGTATATATACGATTCAAAGGCGCATGAAATAAAGCAAAGTTTTGAAAGCGGTACCATGCCCAATACTCCAAGCACAGCACACTCGCCAAGTGGCGGCTAAGTAGTACCACATCTGGCTGGCAAGCCTTGCATGCCGACGCAGCATCTTCGCCCTTATCGTCTTCCTTCTCCCTCTTGCACTAAATTCACAATTCCCAACCCACAACATCATCATTTTGCAGACAATTCGTTGCATAAGCCGCGAGAAGTCGAAGGGATTGTTTTTTGTATTATTCTGTTTTCGACAGACAGAGAGGATTCACAGGCAAGATGGTGGACGCAGCGGCCTTGATCATCGGTGTCATCCTGTTCGTGCTCCTCTCACCGGGGCTGCTGTTGCAGATTCCTGGGGATGATCGCCCAATCGAGTTCACCAACCAGCGGACAAGCATAGCGTCCATCGTGGTGCACGCCGTCGTCTTCACGCTGGTCTTCTACCTGTTGCAGCTCCTATTCCACGTCCATGGCGGAATGTAGACCACCCTTGTTGCACATCCCCAAGGTGTGCTTGTGTCCCTTACAGCCCTCGTTACCTTTGTAAAGTTACTTGAGAACACGGCTTCTTGGATTCCAATTCTCGTGCTGTTCCCATGGCCACAAGTGCTTTTCTCTTTTGCAGCAATTTGATCCCTTACCACAGTTACTTTTTTCTTCTAGCTTACAATGGGTGATTCGTCATACTGTGGTACTTCAGAAGTTGCTTTTGTAGCGGATTTGTATGCTCGTTTGTTTCTCCCTGAGCATAGGAGATTGAGGTTTTGTTTCTTTCTTTGTAGCAGGGAAGTGAAGGAACAGGAAAGCTACCGAGATATCTTCTGGAATTTGGTGACTCGTGTGCTGTTAGTAAGTTGATGACCTGTAGCTTTGTTCAGCCCACCAGTTTTTAGTGCTTGCGGATAACGCTGAAGTGGCCAGTCCTGTTGTGTTGATATGTATATTTGAATCATACTATTTGCAGGACGCTGAAAAATACTAAGCCCTGCAGCAATTATCTTTTATCTATTGTTTATCTTAGTCTCAAGAGTGGGTGTATGGATTTTTTGGGGGTCTGCGTTCATTTTTTGTTTTTTGTTTTTTTATTTATTTTTTTGTAAAGAAACCGATGTATGAGAATGGTATGTTGCAATATAATACGTTTCGCTGTTTACTCTTTGTTTCGAGGGTTTTGGGTATTACTGGCAACGGATTCACATCGTGTGTTGCACGATTTCAATGAAGGAGTTGACAGTGCACCAAATTAGTTAACTTCATCTTACACTAAATTTGTACTTTGTCAGACTTTTAGTGTCCTCTCGAAAGGAGCGTTTTGTCTGATTTCAAGGGTTCTTCACCAGAATGGTCCCTGAAAAGTACTACTCAACTTGATGTCGCTTGGTGATGTTCCCAAAATACGGGATGCACGAGAGTCTCGAAAGCTTGAACGTCGTTGATTACAATGAGGGATCGTTGGAAATAGAAACTGTGTTGGGATATGAATTGTGTGCAGCCACAGAAAAATCTGGAGGCCTCAGTTTGCGTTTTGTAGAGGTGGCCTATAAACAAGTGACCAATTCCAGTGTGATTTATTCATGTAGAATTAAATATGTAGGAAGTATGGTTCAGAATAACAAATTAAAAAATGAAACTTATCGCCCTATTTTAACTGTAGATTCAAGTTTATTGCAGTATCCTTAGTCATAAAAATTGTCCCAGCTTCTGAACTGATTCTAGATAGTCGGATTTCACCGCATAATCATGACAGGAAAATGAAGCGAAGAAGGTAATTATATTGTACCAATTACAATTGCGACATAAATTTAGAAACGAGATCATACGTATAATATTTTAGTGTAAATCCTCCCCTTTACCACACTCAACAGATTGATTAAAAGGAAGATTTTATAAATATCATATCTGCATGAGAGCCAGTTGTCACGAGGACCACCATCATTCTAAGATTTGTCTCCTCAATCCTTAGATGCTTCACAAACCTTGCGGTGAAACGCATTATTCTACGGGGAGTGTGCGAGGGACTGAAGGCTGCGAAGCTAGCCACTGAATTTTGGCTGAGTGGCGCTTTTTTGTAACCTCGCGTCGCACATGTTGTCCGAGGTTTACAGTGGAGCATGCATACACACAAAATCTAGACAAAGTTACGACCGATGCAAGTAGAATGCCGCAACTACCTTTCGATACGTCAAGCATGATTTAAGGATAGTGGATCTTAGATATGTATAGTCACCGGTGCAAGTGTGAACCTCCACCTATTGTTCTTGTAGCTGAGTGTCAATTGCTTCAAAACATGCTCTCAAGGCTTGACTGAGTCCGTATAGAGTGTTATGGGGCTTGCATAGGTAATTGTCCCTCTTTGGAGCTATAAACTTGGGTGGTTGCTCAATATAGACTTAAGCAAAATACAACCTGCTATAACTTGATTGAGCTGGGAGGTGTCGACTTGTGTGAGTTGTCGTGAAATATTGTGTTGTTGACAAAGTTTGTCAAATAAAGCAGATGTGAATCTACTACCTCATTCAGAGCAAAGGCACAGTAAAAGAAGGCTGGTTTGCTTTTCTACTATTTCTTTAAATATTAAAAAAACGTAGAAGGTGTTGGACTTGGCCTTGAGCCAATAGACCCACATGTGTTGTGAATAGTTGTCTACAAAGAGAACAAGATATTTGGCACCAACTGGGATTGATATTCAAAAGGGATTGCATAAATCTGCATGGACGAGCTGAAGAGATCGTGAGGCTTTTCTGTAGATAAATTTTGGAAATTTTAGTCTATGTTATTTACTTAGAAGGCAACTTTTGAAATTAAGTGCAGCTTTTGGTAAGCATGGAATACATGTCACAATGTGTGCAGCTGATAATGAAGATAACTTGTTGTGCTTGATATGACCAATACGTAAGTGCCATAACTTGAGTTTGTCTACCAGAGTCTTGATGTGTTATTGAGCTATAACCGTAGCTCAGTAAGAAGGATTTATAGAGACTGAATAAGTTCAACTGTGGTTGGTATAAGGCGGTCGACGTTAGAGGCATGGCGGCGTTTGGCTTGAGCAAATATTTTGCCTGTTTCACAGTTAATGATTTGACAACATTTTGATGCAAATATGTGCATAAAGCCAGAATCATAGATCTTTCCGACTGAGAGCAGATTATCGACAAGGGATGGCGCATACCAAAATTTATCGATATATTTATTTGATTTGTAAGTGGAAATGGAGGCATAACGCATGTCGTGTACATGGTGATGTTGTCCTCCAATTGAATGGACTGTTCGAATGAGAGGCTCTAGTTTGAAGAATCTAGGAGTGCGGCTTTTGTTGGCGTGGTTGCCAGGGTCGACTTGGTCCTTGATTGACACGCCATTGTGTTGATGGTAATGATGATCAAACAAAAGAAGGGCGGTTGAGAGGTGGTGGTGGTTGATGGGGTCTGTGCAAAGAGTTACTACGGACTGCAAGTGCAATCTCAAAATGACGGTTTGTTTATTTGATGTGGAGATAAGACTCCTCACCTAGCAAAAAAGATTCCAATTCTTGGAGAGTGAGTTGTTTTTGTGGTCATGAGTAATTGGACATATCCACCATATTGATGTGGAAGGGTGCTAAGCATGAGAATCGCAACACTTTGCTAAGACAACTTCGGCTTGTGTGAGCTTATCTACGAGATCCTTGATGGTTCGTAGCAAGTCTTTCATGTTGCTGTCCAAAGATAGGCGGATATTGAATAGCCTGTTTAAGAGATTGTTCTTGCAAGGTTGATTAGTGGAGGCAATCATAGTCTTGAACATCTTCTAGAGGAAGTGGGAGTCATGTTCCATCTTTTATCTTAGAGAACAAATTGAAATGCACAAAGAGGGTGAGAATTAGTGTGCGTTGCAGGTTGTTGCTTTCTTCTATGGATTGTCTATTGACGAGGCGGGGCTTCTCCTTGACGTAGTGCCACAGACCTTTCCTAAGAACTTTCTCTATTTTAAAACTCCAGATACTTTAGTTCTCTTCTACTGTATGCCTGCACTCAAAATGAATCAAGTTTGTGATGAAACGATGAGTGAGAGGAGGTAGCTACCTAAAGTTGATCACCTGTTGTCAACACGGGACGTGAGGGAGGCGTAACAATAATTGGTGAGGCTGGCCTTGCTATCTCTAAGTCAGAGCTCATGCCGAGAGTGGCACTTTATAGCAGAGAACCTAAAGAGGTCGCTCTGATACCATGAAAAAAAAGTAATGAGAGAAGGCAGCACCCGGAACTCTTGATGTTGCTGTGTGGTAACACTTACACAAATATATCACTCTTTTGAGAGTCTCCTGATATACCAACTAGGTGTGCTAATTATAACTTAACCTAATCCTACGTCAGCCTAGTTGTGCTTCCACTTGTCACCGGAAGCCAGGTTTATTCCAACAACTCGTGTGCGCAGTGTAATGTGTGTTGTCTGTAGTTTCCAAGGTATGGAGTTATGAATTCATGAACTTTTGATACCCAGCTTGGGTTCTGATGCATCAACATCAACACAAGACTGATCGTTCTTGTTTCTTATCCAGAGCTTGCAATGTGCGACTGTGTTCGCAGATTCTGTCGGTGATAGGTGGTCTGTTGAGGCTCCTCTTTTCGACTCACATTGAATACATAGTACGAGGCTGAACCTCTTCAGGTGAGGGTTTGAATCTTCTTTAGCAATGAGTTTTGTGTTCCCAAACAGTTTCCCAAACGCTTTAAATCCTACACAAAATGACATACTAGTCCTGAACTATGGTGCACTATTTTCGTTATTCGCTGGAGTGGTTATCTTATTCAAATACAGGCGCTTCATCTACATTAAATTTCTTTAGCAATCCGTGCTGGACTTTTACAGTCACTGTTGTTGTCCATTGTTGGTCGTATTTTTGTGTTTTTTTTTGCTACGGTGCAGGTCTTATTCATGTTGGAGGTTTGTGATGGTACTAATCTTCTTACCCTTGTGGTTTTTGAAGGTGGTGGTTTTCTGTCTGTTGTTGCAAGATCGTGATGGTGCTAGTCCTCTTCAATTTTTTGTTGTTGGTTCGTGATTGTGGTGATCCTTCTCGCCTTGTTTCTAGTGTGAGATTATGTTCTTCCAAGCAAAGGTGATAGTTGTGATTGCACTCTTTCTCACATTCTTGCTATTTGTGATGAAGTTCTTTATGGCAGCGGAGCTAGTTTTTGTATCAAATTTCCTTAGTAGTGTAATAATGATGAATGTTTCTGGGATGTTGATGCTTAGTTGGAAAGATTTGCAGCTGTGTTCTTTTCTGTTGTGGTTTGCCACTCTGTTATAATGTATGTAAAATTTCTTTTTGCAGAATTTTTTATGAAGAGTATATTACAATTTTAGGATACCACAATTTAGATATTCCTTTTCAATTTCAATTTCATTTTAATTATTATCTATTATAAAGGATGTAGTTGTTGTGTAAATGACGAGAAAAAAAGAAAAAAAGAAGAAGAAAAAAAAGGGGTTTTTTAGTCTTGCTAACAGAAGTTTGTAAGTTTCAAAGTTTGTTTTGTTTTTAGTCTCTAACTCAATCTTGTTTCTCTAGTGTTGTTTTTATTTATTTATTTTTGCATCTAATGTGTGTGTGTATATATATATATATATATATATATATAATAGATATTAAAATCTTAACATGCATATTTTATACAAACATATTTAAGCAAATGCCTTGGTATATTTGTATATCGTTTTGGTCAAAAATTTGGAAGAAAAATGAATAAAAATACTAATAGAAAACAAGTTTAAAGTATAATATTTACAACACAATTAGAAGAAAAATATATGAATCGAAGATATTATATATATATATATATATATATATATATATATTATTTGAGTGAAAAAGGGAAGTGAAGTCTATCTAAAGTACAATATATTTTCTATAACTCAATACTTGACATGAAATACTAAGTCTATCCATTTGGTATTATTTCTAAAATTGATACATTAAAACTATACCCATTAATTTAATTATTTATTTTACATTAAAAAATCTAAATACAAAAA